AATGTTTGTTAGCCCAGACATAACAGGATTAGGCCTTTAATCCACCCTTTATCGCATGTTTGTTTGCCATGATTTCGGCCTGGTAGATAAGATTGGGTGCGACTGAATAACGTGATTGCCATTCTGCCCAAATGTGTTCATTTGACACAAACTCCAAATTTCTGAAAACCGAATCCGTCATCAAACCGGTCAAGCTGTCGGTTGAACCTGTATTTAATTTATTAATACTTTTTAAATACATCTAATATTTTATATAATATAATTTATATAAAAAACTTTGTTAATTAATTATTAAGTCAATTAAAAACATTCCAATACTTAAACTAAAGAATAGTAACTCATATATATCACTTATATTTAAATACATAATTTTATTTATCCTAAAAAAATATTTTTTTTTTTTTAAAAAAATCAATCTGGTCCGACTGGACTAGTTACGATTTTGACCGATTCAACCAGTCATTGATCGGTCGCTGGCAACTGGTTCATTCCAGCGAACCATACCGGTCAACTGACCGGTTCCAGGTCCAACCAAACGGACAGGCCGGTTCGGTCTGGTTTTCTAAACCACGTCAAAAACAAACCAAAAAAGAATCCGCTCAGGTCTAGTACCAATATATAATCAGGTTCTTGCCTTCAGCCCAAACTTCAATCATTTCCAAATTCATGAAGAAAAAGTTAGTCACAAACATGTGGAGCCCTTATTTACATTCTTCCTGCAGCTTTAAATTTCCAAACAGAGCACACAACCAAAAAAAATAAATTCATGAAACATCATTATTTCTTTTTCCACAGCACCAAATATACAACAACAAAAAAACTGCCCCAAGTAAATTATCCACCACTAGCAACTTTTGATTTGACTTTGTAAAGTAAAAAGACCACCAAAGTACCTGAAGGCTTATGCTGAATAAAGTTGGACACAGTCAGATGGAACCATCATTAAAGGCATACCTTGAGAGCATTTAAAATTTCATCGACGACAAGACGGTAAAGTGATGCCTCCACATGCAGCCGCAATTATAAAATACACGAGTAACACAATCAAGCACGTCAGCATGGCCCTGTGAACCATAAGAAGTATATTATAACACCCAGAAGCACCATCAACAAGCCCAACTGACAGTTTAATGACTCATTCTACAATTTGATAGGCATCTAGCGACACACACACACACAAACACACACACACACACACACACACAGAGAGAGAGAGAGAGAGCGCTTATCTTCTTTTGAAGATTCTACAGATTCATATTATCTGCTGACTTGATTGATATAGCATAGATCTTAAATTGGATTGGGAGATGTGATTCCTAAATCAAGGGATTATATTGTCATTTCAATCACCAGGATTTGGTAGTTGCAAGCTTCAGTTTACATATAGGAAGAATGAAATAATCTAGAATCGTATTAAGTTTGAATTGTTTTCTTTTGATGTGACAAATGTTGACAACAAAACAATTTTTTCCTTCCCAAGATTTACATATATTACCCTTACAAACATAAGATTCTGTGAGAGCTTCCAATGACCTAGCTGAGCTACTGAGAATTGTGGCTATTCAGCTACCTGGCTGATAAATGAAAAGGTATCGTATCGTAGAATAGAATATAGGAAAAGGACATGCGTGCTTGACAACTCCAGAACTATTACAAACTTCCAGCGGATGAACAATCCAGAAGTAGTTTTGTAATAGGGAAGACCTTAGGTAGAAGGAGGTGACAAAGCACTAAATTCCTTTCCTTCCATCTTATGATAGTTAGACCTATGATAAAAAATGTCCTGTTGTTGCTGACTTTTGTTGTGAGGTTGAGTTCAGACTTGGAACAAAGGTGGTATGAACACAATTAATAGTGTAAAATAGCTCTGATAGAGAAAAGGTTAAAAATAATGCATTCAAAGTGATATAAGATCAGGAAAATTATATGCCGGTCCAAATGCAATAGTTTTTACTCTAACACTCTTTCTCAAAATAAAGTGAAAAATAACCCAGTGTTGCACAAAATTCCTACAAAGTACAAACTCCAACAAAACCTCCTTTTTCTTTTGGGTTTAATCACTTTCAAACTTCAAATTTTATGAATGGCTAATATCTTTCTTGCAAGTAATAAATTGAAGTGATGCTATTTTTTCTTCGATAACATTAACAATTGCAACCGAATTGGGTTCTACACAAATTTCATAGGTAAATCTGAATTCATATATAACAATATGAACTTACAATAGCTTGGCATTTTTCATCCATAGAGCTCGATGAAGGCGCTTTGATTGTTTCCTGAAGTGGAAGGCACTATCTTGCATGGTTGCTGTTTTGTCAACAAGAAGCTCAATCCTGTCACCCCTCTCAAGTATCTTGTCAATGTTATCCACCATTATTGTACGTACCTGCACCATGTTTCAGGTTTTCCTCATGAAACTGCGAGTTGATATTGGTTAAGAATGTTGTAGTAGAGGCTTCTGGACTATGTATTGATCAGATGAACTATAAAAGATAATCTTTCTATGAGCAAGATATTACTGGATCTCCTTTTTGCTTTGGATTGGATAGTAGAGCTTTAGAGATAAAATGTAATTTAGTATATTTCAATAATTGGGCTTTTGGGCCCATTTGCTTAGAATATCCATTAAGTTATAATTAGGGTCAAGGTTAAGACTATTTAAG